ACAGCAAGCCTGAGTGCCACGTGGTATCAAAGGCTTTTTCGATGTCCAAGAACACTGCAGCCGTAGACATTTTATTGTTGAAATTAAGGGTCACGTGGTCCGCCAGCCTCATACATTGCAATGTAGTGATGTGACGTGCACGAAAACCAAACTGACTTGCGTTGAGCAGGCCTCTTTCTTCAATATGTTTACTGAGGAATTTCAAAATTACTTTTTCGAATAGTTTTCCTGTCGTGGACAGGAGGCTGATCGGACGTAAATTTTTAGGGAATTTTGGGTCTTTACCGGGTTTGGGTAAAGTTATTACTTTTGCTTCCTTCCAAGTACTTGGAAAGTGAGAAAGCCGAAAGCAATGATTAAATAGATGGGTTAGATGAACCAGTGGTCGCCTTGGAAGGTGCCTGAGGCATTCATTTGGGATGCCGTCAATTCCGCAGGCCTTTCTTAGTCTCAGAGATTTTATTAATTTCTGTACGTCACATGGTCTGCGGTTCTCGTCTACGGTTTCCAGAAGAGCTTGAACTCTAGCCTACACCCGCTGTTCATGGTTTTCGTCGCACAGGTCATGTGGCGTGAACTGAATTTCTAAATAGTCGGCAATTTCGTTGGCTTTTTCAGAAGGATGAAATTTAATGCCAGAAGAACCATGAATAGCAGTTGGTGCCCTTGGTCCGTCTCTCTTAAGGAGAGATTTCGCAATGGGCCACATAGTCTGAGGTGTGACTTCAGCGTTACTTATTTTTGTTTCCCGCCGTTCAAGTGCCTTTTTTCGAGTCATTCGTCTGATTGATTTGGTGACCCAATTGACTGCCGTTTTACACGCTGGATCCCTGGTTTCTTGCCACAATTTTCTTAGCCTCTGTTTATATTTTATTAAACGATCTAGACCAGGAAGATCGTTGTTTATGTCCGAAATTGTAATTTTACTTGTCGACAACCTATATGCCGATCAACAGAGGCTGCAAAGCCGCGTGCCGCTTTATCGGCTGCTACCCCCGAATTAATTTCTAGTTTAGGTGATATTAATTCAGAAGCGAGGCTTTGAAACCGCCCCCAATCTGTAAATTTTTCCATGGGTTCCGAAAGATTCCTAATTTTAACGTGATCCAGTATGTGGAATACTATTGGTAGGTGATCTGAGTCCAAAATATCAGAGACGATGACCTCTGACACTCTGATATTTTGGTGAACCACAATGTCTAACACGTCACCATTTCCCGCAGGGGAATAATGAGTGGGGCACTGTGGTGCTGAAATTTCGAAATCACTCCTATCAAATAAATCAACGAGTTTCAAGCCTGAGGGGTTTGAAACTCTGCTATTCCAAAATGGGTTCTTAGCATTCAAATCACCTGCCAAAATAGACTTACGTCTGAAGCTTAAGAGCTCAGTGATGTCAGCATCACTCCAGGCTTTGCTTGGAGATTTGTAAACAGCTGCAAGCAGCACTTCGCTATTACCAATTGGTATGCAGACCCCTGTCGCTTCTACTGAAACAAGGGGTGGTAGGTCTACATGGATGTGGGGAATGCCTTTTCTTACTGCAACGGCAGTTCCGCCCTTTCTTCCCGACTGGCGGTCGATTCTATAAAAGTGGTAATTTGGAATAAAGAACCTCTCATGAGGTTTCAGATGTCTCTCTGAAAACAGGGCCACATCTACGTGTAGGTCTTGCAGCTGTTTACTGAGCTCATAGCGCTGCCTCCCAATGCCGTTCGCATTAAATGCTATGACTTTGAGGGGCCTATGACTCTAGTGGCCATTTTGTTTCATTAAGTTTAGAACAATTTTAGTTATGGCTATTATTTTGTCCTCCTCGGACACTGGACCACTGACCTCTGTCATAATCTGCTGTACTACAGTCACTACTCTCAACATATTGTCGAGAGACTGACTGTTTACATTAGGAGCCTGAACTGACTGACCTGTGTGTTGTTCCAGTACAGGGATCGGAACGCTCGGTTTCGTGGCTGCTGGTACACTCGTTCCTTCAAACTGTCCTGCTTAAAATATCTCGGCACGGACCACATATAGAACAGCGTTTCGATTGTCGTAGTCCAACAATACCTAGACCGCTGCATAGAAACAGGTGTTTATCCACCTACTGCATAGAAAAGATAATGGTTGTCCTTTTTTGAGGTCTCTGTCCAGCAACGAGTCTATACGCCACAACATTTACTGACTCACAGAGATTTCAATTCTTTTCTCAATACTTCTAATTCAGTTAACAAACTCGGCTATTTAAATGCGTACCTATATAATTTCTTCAATGGCAGAAAGAAAGAACATATACACAAACAAATAATTTTGTTACACAAACAAAACGCATACGTACATACATACATGCATCACAGTAACCCATAAATGCGGCCGTACCATAGCCGGGGCGCCTAGTTGCGGGCTTCCCACCGCGGCGGCCAGGGTTCGAGCACGGGTCAGGTCACGTGGGACTTGTGGTGGACAAAGTGGCACCGAGGAAGGTTTTCTCTTAGTATTTCGGTTTCCCCTGCAAATTCTCTTTCCATCAATTGCTCCACAATCATCATCTATCATCTGGGGCTGGTACAATAGGCCAAACAGTGGACTCAGTCTCGCCGCATGAGAAAATAAAACGGAACACAAATGCACTTTGTGAGTTCTTGCACGGCGGTGTCAGTGTCTAGTCTTCACAGCGACTGATTNGCCGCATGAGAAAATAAAACAGAACAATGCACTTTGTGAGTTCTTGCACGGCGGTGTCAGTGTCTAGTCTTCACAGCGACTGATGAATGACTGATTAGAAGGATTTGAAAGGAAACAGGCAAGGTCTAATGAAGGTAATAATCCGGGATTTGCTTGCAGAGACTGAAGAAAATCACGTAAAACTTAGCCAGGACCATCGGTGACTCGGCGGAGAGTCGAACCGAAGACTTGCCGAATATAAGTGTGTAGAGTGTTGCTGCTACGCCAACCGTACATGGTGTCAAAACCATTCACACCAAGAGCCATGCGTAGACGTCCCTAGCAATCGAGTTGAAGCTGTACAACCAAAGCAGGGGGGGGCAGTGTCGTCATAGGCTATCTTAACGCTGAGTTGCAACATANCACTTGCCGAATATGAGTGTGTAGAGTGTTGCTGCTACGCCAACCGTACATGGTTGCAAAACCATTCACCATGCGTAGACGTCCCTAGCAATCGAGTTGAAGCTGCACAACCAATGCATGGGGCGGGGGCAGTGTCGTCATAGGCTATCTTAACGCTGAGTTGCAACATACCGTCGCTCAGTTCCTCAGCCGTGCCAATATCGCGTTCTGGCTTTGTGAAGCGTGACGTCACATAGGTGTGACAGAAAGCGATATGATTTCGCATACCTCCCTTCTTTAAGTATTTTTCCAAATTATGATGATACAATATCATTCATTCATTCATTCACGGAGCTGAGCCCTTCTTGAGAAGCTGTCACTTGTGTAGCTATTTAAAAACTTCCCAGCATTTTATGGAACACGAAGGCTCGTTACCGTGTTCACAAGAGCCCTCCACTTGTCCTTAGNAAGGACTCACTGTGAATAGCCTTCGCTGCGCTTCATGTAGCCTCGATCGGACCATACAGAAAACGGCCACGTAATAAGCACCCTTGTTGCCTGGCGCTGTGTTGCTAGTAACGNTCGTCATAGGCTATCTTAACGCTGAGTTGCAACATACCGTCGCTCAGTTCCTCAGCCGTGCCAATATCGCGTTCTGGCTTTGTGAAGCGTGACGTCACATAGGTGTGACAGAAAGCGATATGATTTCGCATACCTCCCTTCTTTAAGTATTTTTCCAAATTATGATGATACAATATCATTCATTCATTCATTCACGGAGCTGAGCCCTTCTTGAGAAGCTGTCACTTGTGTAGCTATTTAAAAACTTCCCAGCATTTTATGGAACACGAAGGCTCGTTACCGTGTTCACAAGAGCCCTCCACTTGTCCTTAGCCTGAGCCAGATCGATCCAATCCATACCATCAAATCGTTTTAACACTGTCCACCCACCTACATCTTGGTCTTCCTAGTGACCTCTTTCTTTCTGGCTTTCCCATCAATATCCTATATGCATTCTTCTTCTTCTTCTTCTTCTTCACTCCCATTCCTGCTACATGCCCTGCCCATCCCGTCCTCCTTAACTTGACGATTCTAATTATACTTGGCGAAGAGCACAAGTTATGAAGCTCCACATTACACAGTTTTCTCCAGCCTCCTGTCACTCCATCTCTCTTCGGTCCAAATATTCTCCTCAGCACCCTGTTCTCAAACACCCTCAGTCTATGTTCCTCCCTTAAAGTCACAGACCGAGATCCACACCCATACAGAACCATAGGCAAAATTATACAATATCTTTAAATAAATAAATTACGTAAACATATTTATAACTATTTACAACCACACACATACATTAACTGAATAATACTACTTTCTGGCCACGTTTAGGAGGAAAATATAGTCTCCTCTTCAGAACCGCGAAGATGGAGACATCATATATCTTCGAAGCATAGGTAAAATTTTACAATATTAGATGGCTCCACTTCCCAAACGACAGTATTTTTCATAATGACGGCCGTAAGAGCATCACATATCAGACAGTAATAAATTCATTAGCCCACATGACACGCTTCCGGTGTCAGTACAGTGCCCCCCTTCCGGGTCATTCTACCTCTTCTTTTCGCAGCCAGCAGAGCCGGCGAGAGGATAATCCGAGAACAGTCGTTCACTCTTGACTCCGGAAACCGTCACATGACTTTCAAACGTCAAAGCTTAGAACATCTGAAAGCCGGGAAAGCGATGAGACTCACCCGTAACGTGGACTGTGATGCTATTGGTTAGGCCTCTTGGCGTTGAGCATGTGAACACGCCGGAGTCTTGTGGCTTCGTGTAGTAGATGGACAGCCGGTACTTCCACTCCCGCTCCTCCGCCGCTATCGCCCACCCTACACATGGAGACACACATCTGAATGCCGTCCAGTTTACCATCGTCACAAGATTCAATCCTCAATGCAACTGCTTTCACTCTTATTTCTCCTCCTTACGTCATGTTTCGACCTCAGACGGCCATCAGCAGGTGTCTTGTCTACGCCAAAACTGTCACACTGTATAAAATGTTCACTTAATTATACGCTTGCAATCTGAACATGAAACATCAGATTTTCGGGTGTATGAACAAGTGAACATGTTATATAGTGAGACAGTTTTGGCGCAGACAAGACACCTGCTGATGGCAGTTTGAGGCCGAAACCTGTCGTAAGAAGGAGAAATAAAAGTGAAAATACTTGCATTGAGGACTGAATATATTATGTGCTTTTAAAGTTACTTACATACTTACTCAGCAGCTAAGACGTCAATTGTAAAGTAAGCATGAGCAAAAAGAGAATGGACGTGAGCAGAGTATAGTGTTGGGAGATGTTGCCAGGCAACTTCTAGTGAAGACATACGATAGGAGACTTAGCATTGGCTGTACTGAGAAGTACAGCGCACGAATTATTTAAATCCTTGTACTTACTTATAGTTACGATTTAGAAGTGTTCAATAAATCCAATTATGAATTCTAATCACTAATACGTGACAATATATATATATATATATATATATATATATATATATATATATATATATATATATATATTTTTTTTTATATTTTTTGTTAAAGTTTTCTAAAAAAT